GTGGCTGACTGTTCAACATTCTTAGGTTCATGGACCATATGAAATGGATTTTAGCTGAAACTTTAAGATGCTCTTCAAAAGCAGACCTGACACAACAGAACCAGTAATGAATATCCATGCCAGAAAACCAAATGACAACAAAGAAAACCTTGAGTAGACATTTCCATATATTCATATATATGAATATATTACTATATATGAATATATATATATGAATATATTCATATATATTCATATATTCACCATATATTAATCTATGGTGCCTTCAGATTTTTCATAAGTTCCATATTGTCTTCCTTTCATTTAATGACCTTTGTCTTAGCTGCTAAAATAAGCTTCATCAGATTTTGCTGAGTTCTTCATGTTCTCCTGAAGCAGTCATTAAACAGGCACATATATCCTTCAGCTCAGTTGCTTCTGCCAAATAAATTCATCACTCCTCTCGGAATTCCAGGCTGTGGAGTATAAACCCAGCATGTGAAACCTCTTACTTATATGTTTAGAAAAGTGATCTCCAGCCTGATGGTATAATTTTTACAGGCTCTTGTTCATGCTGTGTTAGGCCACCCATCATCCTGAGTGTATGATTTTTAATTATTTAACATAGTACAATACAAAGCATTTCCTAAACACTGAGCTTTTATGCTTGCAATTACTTTTGAGCAGAAATAAGGATTCCCTCATAGAAACCATAACTTGGTTAGATATACACTGAACCCTTCTTAAGGATATCTGGGATCCAGGCTGATCCTGCCAATGGATTCCTACTCGCTGCTACACAAAGGACAGCAGGCATTGCCCCACGAACCACAGGGCTGAGTTTAACCATGGCAGAAATCTAAAATATGTTATCAAATACCAAAGGAATGTAAACAGACCACTTCTGAGAGTATTTTATAATGTCAGCTAAAAAGTAGGTTGAGGTTACAATTAAATTTTCCTAGTAGCAAAGGTTTGTTAATCCTGGTGCTCTGCCTTTAACAATCTAGTCTGTCAACTTTTCCTCACATGCATAGTCTAAATGAAGCAATATTACTAGGTCTCATAAATCTCTGGGTATTTGAAAGTTTTTCTAAAGCTTCAGATCATAGTTAATAATTTCAAGAATTTCAACTTTGAACTGATTTTTTTTACTCAAGATATTCTGAAGCAATACTAAGCAAACCAAAATAAAAAAAAATAAGATCAATTGATTTTATAATCATTATTCTATTCAAGAATTCTAATTCAGAAATCCTATTAATGATTTCTTACTCTTTCAAAATAGTCTGTTAAAGCTGATAAAATTATTCAAGAAAAAATAAATGGTTTGCTTTTATTTCCCTATTTATTCTACTCCATGAAAAATCTATGAAATAACTTGATCTGAAACTATTTGGCAGTATATATGCAACTTCACTAAAAAAAAGTGATATAGAAATTATTGCCATTATAGCAATATTTCAGTCCTTAATGCTCTGAGTTATTTTTTACTCTATCTATGCTTAATGTAAATATTTTAGCTGAAGTATTTCTATTTCAACTTCATCAGTCCATTGTGGTTCCTAAATAGAGATTGAATAATTCACATTTACAGCATAAGAAAAGTTAGAATCTTACATCAACAGCTACTCCAAATATCAATACACAGAAAGAACCTGAACTCATGATAGCAGACATATAATCTGGGAATTCAGGATCAAATACCTTTGTGATGTGAAGCCAAGGAGACCCTCCTACTGATTCCATAAAGTCACACCAAGTGTATGCTTCCCCACTAGGCTGAGGTTTCTGCTTTGTTACTGAGCATGCCAGCACTGAGATGCTCAAGGGGAACAAACGAGGATAGAACCTGGATCCAAACAGAATTCTACTGCCATTTTCCATACAGTAACCTCGAAAGGCAGCAGCAAATTAGCAAAAGCTGAAAAGTAGCAACTGTGGACCCATAATAAGTTTATGATAGGTCCACACTCTACCTGGTTTAATCCCTAATTTTTTTGATTCTTTTGCCACCTGCCAACTGTTATATTTTGACAATTCAAATAAAAAGGACAAACTGTCAAAGATTAAAGCTTCAAAGCACTGAATTACAGGATAGTCACTTAACATTTAACATTTATTGATATGACAAAATAAAGATATAGATTACATGAACTTCACATTTTTTTTAAACAAAATATGGCCGAACAAACTATAAAATCACCAAAAACTACTAAGAGGCACCATGTTATTGGGCTACCATATGGAAAGTATTATATATAAGAGGGTCACCAGTCACTGAATTATTTTTGTTATAGGCTAATGTAGTCAAGTAATGAAAGATTTGTGTGTTAGTATGTAGAGAAATTATATGAGGGGAAAAAAAAATGTCTAAATCTTTTTGGCAGGAGACCTGAAATTAAAGAATATCACATCAAAAGCCAGGAAGCTATACTTATAAAATTCATCCCCAAAAACCACACAGTGGTCTCCTATTACATTAATTCATAAAGCTGCTGGAAATGGCAATCCCTGATGCACACGTGGATTGTATAGACATCAATCATGATAGGCCAGGTGGGAAAAAAGGGCCCATATAGGGGGAATTATGTATTGGATATTTGGTGTTGGGTTCCTCACAGGGGACTTGCAGAACGTTTCAGAGTTCAAGGCGTAATTTGAAAATGTAACCCCTTTCTTTCCATGGGAAGGGACACAAAGTGTGGAAAAGAAGGACAAATCTAGTTCTCTTCCATAGCCTTGTCGACTTCTTCCATTCCATCTTCCATTCCACCCTTCCATCCCTTTGAGTATTGGAGCTACAGCCTCAGAGGAAAAAAACATATGAAATCATGGTGCAGCCAGAGTTTGCCAGGGCCTGTACTTCATGTACTTTCAGCAAGCTCTAGAGACTGAATCTCCTCCTCTGCATGGAAGTTCCAGGTTCCACAAGTCTATGGAGCTGTTCCACAGTAACTTTCAGAGAAAAAGTGAGACAAATAGGAAAAACCTAAGCTCAGCATTCCAGGTATTCCCTGACAAGAGATAAATGGAGAGGGCAAATTGCTTCTTCATCTTTGCTTGCTGGTGATTCTCTTGTTGATTCAATCTGGTACATCAGGCAAAGGAGGAAATGAGGGGGGGATGAGCAAGACTCCCCCACCTCCACAAATTCAGAGCTTTTATTCACCCAAAATGGGAAATGACATCTTCAGTGGACAAAGCAGTCTTATCATGGGGCCTCATTTGTTCCAGAGATGACAAAATGGAATACAAAACAGCTAAGACCCAAAAGCTAGGGACAGCATTTAATGAAACAATAACAAGAAATATGTTCAATCTAGAAATAGGATTTATAATTGTAATCCCACTAATTTTACATTTTGCATTCTAGATTATCAAGAAAATATATGAACAAGAGCAGCCATGAGGTGTGCTTTGGGATCAGGATTGTATGAAGTACAAAAAGGTTTTTCTAAAAGCTGAGGGACATTCCTGTAAGACATATTATATATGACCCTAGAAGCCACAGATCCCTCTTATATCACCTTGGTATGAAAGGGCTCCTGTGAAAGCTCAGAGCAAGGTTGGGAGGATAGGCCAGAACTGCCCATTAGCTTTCATCTGAGAGACAGCCATGACTACAGCCTCAATAAACATTTCCCTAATATATCACAGGGACCGGGACAGTCCCATTCCAGCAGTCAATGTGAAATACTACTTAGGGACCACCAGAGCAGACAGACCTATCCACAAGTCACTGTGTGAAAAACAAAAAAAAAAAAAAAAAAAAAAAAGAAATAATTATGGCTTATAACAGGCTACATGCATCGCAGTTCAGAAATTATTTCTCTACTGACCAAATAAACTTGTCTTGAACACCAATCAACATTTTAGTGGCAAGCTCAGACTCAACTGATGAACTCATATCTATTTGTTGGAATAAATATGCAGAATAAAACCATGAGTCTTTGAATTCAGTTTTAAGTAAATAATATGCTTTCTACATGGTGCTGATTTAACTAAAATCAAAAGACTAGTCCTTCCATGCAGGAAGACAAGTCTAACAAAAGAAGTTGGAGAGCCTCAAGGTACTGAGATACTGCTGCATTTCAGAAAGACAGCAGCACAGCTGCAAACCGACAATGGCTTTTGTGTCTATCATCCAGGACAAAAATAGTCTTTACCATTCTGTGCAACACATAAACAGTAGTGTGTAAGTTTGTTTCTTTTAAATAGATTTAATTTTAATCAGATGTAATTTGAATCCTGGGACTAATTTTGCCATCTTTTGGTACTTCTGACTTCACACTGCTCCTCTCTACAAGGTGACTTAAATGTACTTTGGCGGAACATCTGTACTTTCAGAAGTCCGAAGAAATCAGCAATACATGTTAACAACTTGGCAGAAGTTTTTTCTAAAGAAGATTTTTCCTAATATCCAAGTTCTTAGCATCTTGGAAAGAGTTTGTTCAGGGATGGTCCTGCAAGGCAAAGCCTGGGAAGCTTTCGATGCAAATGCATTTTCCGGTGATGGAAACCCATGGCAGCGCTGCCACGGGGGCCAGCGGGTTCCTGCGCAGGCACAGCACCGGACACGCCGGTGTGGCACTGGTGAGTCTCAGGCTGGGCTGGGGCTCGTACCGGGGCTCGTACCGGGGCTCGTACCGCCCGCCGGAGTGGCACGGCTTTCCGCAGGGGAGCATCCCGTGGCTCCGTGGCCGGCTCCAGGGCACTCTGCCCTGCTCCGGCCGGGACCACCCGCCCCTCTCCGCTGCGGTCTCTGCCCGCCCCGGCTCCAGGCGGGTCCGCCCCGCCCCGCCCGGTTATACAGCCCCGACCCGCCGCCCGCCCGCGCTCCGGCGCTGCCGCCGCGCCGCCGAGGGACGGCCAGAGGAACAGCCCGGGGGACAGCCCGGGGGACAGCCCGAGGGACAGCCCAGGGACAGCCCGGGGGACAGCCCGGGGGACAGCCCGGGGGACAGCCCGAGGGACAGCCCGAGGGACAGCCCGGGGGACAGCCCGGGGGACAGCCCGGGGACAGCCAGACAGCGCCGGGGTCGGCGATGGTGCCGGCGCCCGGGAGCGCCCTGCTGGCCGCGCTGCTCGCCGCCGGGCTGGCCGCGGGCAGGTGAGCGGGGCCGCGGGCGGGTCGGGCGGGAGGGACGGGCACGGCGGCTCCGGCTGCCCGGGCTGGGTACCGCCGCTCCCCGGCGGCCCCGCGGGTGCCGGGCGCTCCGGCCGGGCGCGGGTGTGCGCGGATCCCTCCCGCGCCCGTGTCCGCGGGGCTCGCCCCGCCGGCGGCCGGGCCGGGGCCGCGGTGCTGAACGGCGCCCGCCCGGTTCGTGCGCTCCAGCGGGCATGTGAGCCGCTCCCCGAGCTACTGCACCGGAGCCGGGACGCGCGCTCTGGGAAAAGCGGCGGCTTTAGTGGCGGGAGAGCAGCTGCACCATCTGTGGGAAGGTGTGAGCACCCACGGCTCTTGGTCTGCCAGCATAAACTGCCTTCACCAGCAGCCAGTCACCACAGATGTTGGGTTTATGGAGGCAGGTATGCTTTGGAAACAGAACGAGATTTTGAGAGAGAATCAAACCACTTACTCCAGACCAAGACATTCCAGTGTTCCCTCTCCCAATTCTCCAGAAGCAGAAGTGCTGCAGCAAGGGAATAGCTCGTAAAGGGAGAATTCGCAGCAACTGCATGTGAAGCTTTCAAGATGTTTTGTGGCTTATTTCTTTAATATTACATCTGTGACTGGAAACATTTCATCAACAAGTGGCAGTGTGCTGTTCCAGCACATGTGAGGCTGTTGAGTGGTCAGCTCCTCAGGAACTGGAAGTTCATTAACTCCTGACCTGCTCTTATGTCTTAGGGAAAGCACATTTGTTATTCTATACCACCTCACACCATTGACGAGGGCAAGGGAAAAGGACTGTGCTCCAGGAAGAAGGGGTTCCTTCCAGTCAAGAAAACGTGGTGGAGGGACCCTGTCTAGTCTATTATTGGGGTATTTTTGTGTGAAATGTTTCTTCTCTTCTACCTTCCATCATCCAGTAAATTGTTCTTGCCTCAGCCTGCAATCTTTGCCTATTGTGCCTCCAATTCTCAACTCCATCCTTCTGCAAGGGGAAGGGTGAGGGGAAATTGGGGAGCAAAAGAGGGTGTTGTGTGGCTGTGGAGAGTGTTGGTGGGGGGGACTGATTTGAGGAATACCATTCCTAAACCATAATAGCAATACAGGTTACAGCAGCAATGAAACTCAGTCCCACTTAGTTTAAAATGGTGCTAATTGGTCACAGCAATCTTGTGACAGCTAATGCAGCCAGCTCTTTATTTCAGTCACCTCAGCTCAGGCGGTCCTGGGTTGTTGTGCTCACTGTTCATCCTTACTGTTCTTTGCTAAATGTCACAAAGTCCTATCAGCAATACCACAGCCACATAAAGTTAATGACTTCTCTCCTCCCTGGGCACTCTAGACTGCTAAGTAGCCACTTGTTACCTTTAGCACCAGTGCTGCTTCTCAGAGCTCTTCAGACAGCACTCTTCCACTGACCTGCACTGTGATCTGACCTGCACACTGTGCTTCCTCTTGCCTTTCTTTTTTGGTCACATTTTTTGCTGCAGATTCTTCAAGGGCAGGAGTTTTTTGCACACTCAGCAGACTGTGATAAGTCCAGCCATCTCACTCAGGTACTTTAGGTTGTTCCTCTGAAATCCTTCAGGACTATGAAAAAAAGGAGGGGTCAGAAGTACCCTGTGCCTCCAGTCTGCATTACTTTTTCCCCAGTATCCAGGAAGGTTCATGCAACATTCTCCCAGAAAGGGCCTGCCTGCCTGAAAAAAATCTCCTCCTTCCACAGTTTTTAAAAAATGCTGAACTCCTGATAGAAATGGTTAAGCTGATGGGTATTGATTCTTCACGGCTGAGAGGAACTAGCCTGGCAAAACTGGTTTTCCTCACAGATTTTGGGATCTAGTTGATCTTTTTCTCTGGCAAAGGTAAGTTTTATCTTGATGCTTCTTGTGAAAATCAGAACAAGTCTTTCGACCTTGTCCAGGGAAATATGTATAGAGTTCAGCTATGTTAATTTAATTTGCAGCTCTATGGAACATTCCCCAGTTTTAAGGAAAGTTTGTTCTGAAATCTTGAGAGATCTTGTATACTTTATAATGACTATTTTTAAAAAATAAAGTATTAGATAAAATACTACTGAATCCATTTTTCCTGTAAAAACGAGCACCTTTTGGAAAGGAATGAGATCCTTCTTCCTCCAGACTTTAGGCATTTTAACCTTCCAGGGGAGTCATAGCACTATCCAGATACATTCAAAGGGATGTTCTGGGATGCAGGCAGAATGTACATTTACTATCCAGGTGAATTCAAGGCCACTTTCTAGTCTGCAAGCAGAACATATTTTCTTTAACTTGTATACTTGCAAGTGATGTGAGGCAGCAGCATGTGGATAACAAAATGGAAAAAGGCTATTTTATTGTCTCTAGGGTGCAGAGGCAGGGTGCTGATTTGTCACAGGCACAGGGGAGTTAGAGCTGTTCAACTCTTCCACCTGTCTGAGGATGTTCATGCACAAGAATGTGTACTCCTGTTAACTGCATCACTGCATTGATGGCAAAGGTTGGGTGGCTTCAGAATAATTTGTTCCAGTACTGAAGCTTATCTACTTGCCAGGTGACATGAAGACCATCTCTTTGTATAGAGTATCTCAGATACATGAGCTTATGCATTTCCTGTGAACTCCTTCTATTTCCAATGGTTCAGCTACTAAAGAAAACTCTGGAGTAACATCTTGTGTCTTTGAAGTGTATGCATATATTTGTTCTAGTTTGCCTCAGTGATATTTGCAGGAACTATATTGATGTGAGTGTGACTGTTACAGATAAGCACAGGAGGATACATGAAAAGCACTCCTGTAATGTGATAAAGTATTAACTTTTTTGTGCATCAGATTAAAAATGAAAAAGTTCATGCCCAATGGCTTTTTCCACCATTTTTTTTTTCCTAACATGAGATTTCTGTTGCAGTGTATTGTCCCTCCTCAGGAGCCCAAATCACTTACTACAAAGCTCTCACCACACAGGAATTTTTCTGGGTCAAAACCAACCCTTTGGACTCTCTGAAGAAAATGCATTTTAAATTATTACTTGAATAAAGCAATGGGGACAGAGCATTTTGGATAAAGGAAAGAATTTCATAAAAGGGACAGGCATGTGGTACACAATTTAAATAACAGCAAGCAGAGGGAGAAGAGAATTAAAGTCACAGCACACATAGAAACACAGGGGTGGTCTAGAAGATTTACACAGTTGTGGATTTCCATCAGATTTATAATTTTGGCAACTAATATGGCAAGTCTTCCAACTCCTGCAGCTGCTGATCTGCACAATGACTTTGAACCCCCTGGGCTTATTGACAGGTGAAATTAATATTAATTTTGTATGATCAGGGAGTCTCATTCAACCAGAATGCTTGGGACTGTCTGCACTTATGCAATCACTTTGCATGTATGCAGTAGCTATGAGCCTGCAAGTTGTGAGCTTTTATGGGGCTGTCTGATGTCCTCAACATACTTTTCTGTAGAATCAGTCTTTCATCATCTGAGGCAACAGTGCTGTCAGTTATGGCACCATATCTAGTTGTTCATGTGACACAAACTGACACAGCCCTGTTGACTTCATTGATGTTAAGATGACCCATTCTAGCAAGAGAACTGGCTGTTTTTTCTTCCTTTCCGTGTTTCTCATTAGAAAGTGTTTACCTTGCACAGTTAATTTATTGCAGGTGAAACATTCCCATCTTCCCAGTTTCTCTGCTCAAATGGAAGTCTGCATTCCTGTCTAGGAGCACTGCTCTAGGTTTAGTGAAAAGGAAATGGCTGACAGTGGATAAAACATAAGAGAATTGTACAAGGGGGTATGCAGAGGAATGGACTAGAGCATTTTCCTGCTGGAGCTAGTGTTTGTCCTTCCTTACGCAGCTCGAGAGCTCGTGGGCAGCTGGGGGCTGTGAGCCAGCCTGGGGTGTGTCACTACGGCTCCAGGTTGGATTGCTGTCCTGGCTGGAGAAAGAACAAGGGCCACTGTGAAGGTAACATTAACTTTCTGCTTGTTTCCTCTCTGCTGCTGCATACTTGGTACTAATAAGGAGGTTTCTTACACATCTGCCAGAGGTTACAGAAGGGAAACTCCTGAGGAGTGAAATCTCCTAACTCTGTGATAAAGCAAATAAAACATGCTTGAGAGACTATACCCAAAGCTTGAGAGCTTTGGGTAAATAACACCAAACCATAACTTGCGCATTCAGAAATTCTTAGATCCAGAAGGCACCATCTGTTCTAATCTCCTGCACAGCCCTGGTCAGTGGCTACACTGTTACAGCTGTTGAGTACGTGCCATAAATGCAGTGTTTTCTAATGCTATATAAGGACCCCTAAAATGATTTAGTATCACTTGGTATCCTTTATCTTAAGATTACACAGCCTCTGAGAATCAGAAGGTTTTAACTTTCTAAAAATATAAATAAAAGTCAAGCAGTAAGTGCCACTGATTTGAGCTTGGGTATCCAGCCAGCATTCTGGGGTGTGGATCATTTGCTTAGTGAAGAAGCAATGACTCTTAGGACACAGCTAATTTGTGAAAGGTCTACATATCCCAAGGAGAATACACTGTGGAATCTTACTCTCTAATTGTACTTGGGCAAAATACAACAAAATCATAAAATATATGTTTTAGATCTTTTTCAGATGTTGCACTTGCTGTCACAGAGATTTTGGCCTTTTATATCTAGTGAATTTGTATAGAGGCTTAAGATTATTCATTGCTGAAAATCCATATACTAAAAGGGAAAGATGTTAAAATGACTCTGCTCTGTATATATGATATGCCATAAAAAAAAAAAAAAAAAAAAAAAAAAAAAAAAAAAAAAAAAAAAAAAAAAAAAAAAAAAAAAAAAAAAAAAAAAAAAAAAAAAAGATTATTGTAGTATTTCTTGCATTGCTTAATCACACGTCAGTTTTGATGCAAATTAATACCCGGAGAGATAACTGGCAAATGTAACTTTTGATCAGCCAGTGGAGTAGTTTGTCTTGTTTTAAAGCAATAGGTTTTCATAAAATTTGAAGACTGTTCTTGGGCAAATCACTTTAAGCCACCTATAATGTAATTCTGCATTGTAAATCCAGTTGTGGTGTTTTTCTCTGCTTCATTGCTAACACTGCAAGTTGGTCTTTTGCAGTCTTGCATCCCCTCAGTTATAGGAGAGAAATGTGTCCATCCCATGGGAGAACATCCCAAGCAGGTATGCTTTGGATCCCAGGGGAACAAGCTAGTCTTGCAGTGTGCCACATTGCATTCAGGGCTGGAAGAAGTGTAGAAAAATGCCTCAATCTGCAGAGTTAGTACCTTCTGAACTTGAATTCATAAAAATTAATTTTAATATTAATTTTATTATATAGTAGCTAAACTTTCCTACAGTTTGCAGATCAGCTGAACTACACAAAGAATTGAGTTTCACATCCTGGTGCACACTCTTTCACTGTTTCCTAAGAGGTTGTCCTGATACAAATGCATGTTTGGTTTGCTCTTCCTGAATAACCTCTGTGCTGACAATTTGAGTAATTTCAGGAGCCTTAAGGCTTATAAAAGTCAAAATTTAATTTCTGATTGGTGATCCAGAGGACTTAGAGTTGCTTTTCAATGCACCCAGGTTAAATGTAGCCCTCTCAAATGACTGCAAACATGATGCAAATATGCGCGCTGGGATGTGTGCTAAGGACAGTTGCCTGATGACAGATGTGCTCTGGATGTTCCTCCATGGGATAGACACGTTCCTCAGCTGTAACTGAGGAGTCCAAGACTGTACACTGCTATAGGATTATGTATCTCCTGTGTCTCTAGGAGAGTGCTGCTGCCTCTTTCCTGCTCCAGATGCCAAGCATAGCAATTCAAGCTGCTGGCCAGCTGCTTCTCACATAGGCTTCCTAAAAAAAGGAAAAAGGCAGGAGTACAAAACTAAATATGGCTTGTAAGCACTGCAAGGGAAAAAAA